TGGTAGGCCAAATGAGTTAAGATCAAAGAACGCAGCGAGTGGACGACAAGCCCAGCAAGCTGGAAAACAAGTCTTTATTTTCGCATAAACTCCTGTGCGACAAGTCCAAATTGTTGAGCAACCGATCTCAAAGATCTCAAATAGTAAGCACCCCCAAAAGTAAATGTTCCCTGCTACGCTAGTTTTTGATAGTTTAGAACTGGCAGCACTTGACTCGACTCACTTTCTAGTCCTTTCTGTGGGGTTCAAGAAATCACTTCCCACCAATACATTTTTATCAAAACAATGTTAACAAATGGTGGTCCATTTGGGTGTTAAATAAGGTGGGTTGGTGGGTGAAGAGGTTGGGGCTTGTGCAATATAATATTAGCACCCGCATGCCTGATTACTCGATTACATTTACTTGTTTTCGTTTCGTTGTTCATTTCCCCCAGCCCCCCAGCCGTGTTGTTTAACTCAATTTCAGAGCTCAACTGAACTGCTCCCAGTCGCTATTGTTGTTTTCGCTGCGGTAATGCTAATGTTGTCGTTGCACGTAAACAACACCTTACAACACCTTCACCACGGTCCAGCGCATTGTTGGCTTTGGCTTTGTGGCTCGATGCTACTAAAGCTGCTGCTGCTTCTATTTTATGCCTGACTTTCGTTGTGTTGTCGTTGCACTGCCGCCGCCAATAGGCCACTAAAATAAAAGCGAAAACCTAATAAGTAATAACACCAATAAATTTACGTGTCCGACCGGCAGTCTCAATGCAGTTGCAGTATCTGTATCTGCGACTGCTCACCCGTGTATCCCACGGATTAAGGCGGTTATGTGCGCTGCGATTCGGTGTCGTTTTGAGGGGTGCGAGTTCCGCATTTTCTGCTCTGGGACTCGGGGATTAACTCTTTCGGTTACACTTCCCAAAAATCTTTAAAACTGATTTATTCGAAATTTGAGAAGGAAAAACATTATGATCCCTAGATATGTTTCTATTTCTACTTGTTTTCTAGTATCTTAATCGCTTTGGAATATTCCACTGCCCTTTGCCTTGGCAATCTGACTAATCTTGTCACCTGCTTATCGCAGCTATCTCGCCAGAAGCGTTGATAATCCCTTGGAAGTCGGAGTAATTCTTCTTTTAATTAAGACGTTACGTCTGACACAAAACAGAAAGGTGCCGTGCTGATAAATGCGCTAAAAATGCTGGCAATTAACTGGCAACTGCAAATGAAATGCCACAAATCTCGGGCAGCCGAGTGAGTTCCCATTCCCCTCGCAATCCGCCATCCGCAATTCGTTCGTCGCCTTCGTTAGTTAGTTGGTCATACTGACTATTTTTGGACCGTGCGACGGGGCCGAAATTGAAATTGCAAGTGCTTGGGGTTGGCAGTCGCCGGCGAGGAAAGCGGGCAACGCTGCGTATGATTGATGCCTGCTCGGCTGCTGCTCCTCCTGCTGCCCCTGGAACGCACAGATAATTACCCAGCCAAACGTCCACCCCTTGAAGTGCCTAAAAAGTGGGTAAAGATGAGCTTATGTTGATGGTGATGGTGATGCTGCTGATGCAGCGGCTGAATTGTGCTCTGTGCCAAAAAGGAAAAGTTTCTGGCTGCTGTCTGCTGGCTGCTGTCTGCCAGCTGTGTGCGCGCTTTCGACATGTTTTCTTCATTTTCCTGGCATGCGGAAAAACCAGTTTTCCATTTTCGTTTTCATTTTGGGAAGCGGCCGCAGCCTGCGTCGCCTTCACTGCTTGATGGATTTTCGGTCGTTCGAGCAATAGGGCAGCGCAGCTGTTGGATGAACTGGCCTCCGGTCCACCGAATAAAGATCCGTGATCGCTAGCTCTTTCCTGCCATCCCCCGATGCCCGATGCCAGTTGCCAATTGCCAGTCGTTGTCGTCGTCACCCATTTGTCTCACTTTCATTTCCAAATCACCTTCAGACATATCGTATGAAGTTATTACACGGCTTCGCTCCTCCAACCTGATGGGCTGGTGGGTGTACTCGGAAGTGTTTCCCCGGCTGCGAGGGGGCGTGGCAACGACAGGTGTGAAAAATACGAAGGCCTCGGAGACTCCACATCGGGCATAATTGGTGCAGAATGTGGAGGAAGAGTGTAAGCAACCCAGGAAGTGGTTTCCTGCAAGGTATTTTTACCACAAGTTGAAGTCCATCCGTTCCTATGCTTCTCTGGATAACAAAGTAGTCATCCCAAATCGAAATATTTTAAACAAATGTCAACATAAACTTGCACAATAGTTCATTCTAAGCCGGCGTGGTTGTATCAAACAGTAAATCAAACAGCACAAATTACAAAAGTTCAAAATTTAAGTAGTATTTAAAAATTAATCGCAATAACTTTTAGGAAGCATGTTTCGAAAAAACCATACAAAGAACTTGTTCCGCCAACAAATGGAATCTTCGAGACATTAAATGTGAGTGACGAGAAGAAGATAGATTATAAGGAGTTGAGGGAAATCAAGGTAGAGCTCGACTGGGAGGGAAGGGTGGATGACTTTGCAGCGACGAGTTACCCGCCCCACCACGAACTAGCCTTCTTCTTTCAACCCCCACCAAGAGAAGAAGAACCTGAAGTGGAGGATGACGACATCTGCGACGACACAGAGGACACAGAAGACCCATCCACTCCTGATCCGCAGATGGACGAGTCTGTTGAACCGATCTATGAACCACTCTTGGGTTTCTGGGATGCCGTCCAGACATTCTTCTGCAACATTTTGGGAATTTCCGATGATGAGTTCGATGACAGACACATGAAGCAGCATTATTAAAGACGTGCCCCTCGTTCCGGGCATAATTCGAATTAGTTATGCCAACCAAAAGTGATTAATAATGTAAATAATGGGCAATCCATTTTTGCAAACAGATTTTGGGCTCTCAAAATATTTGACTAATTGCGACCAAATGCGGCGCATCTAGGCTATTTATGGTGTCCGTTTGGTCAGCAGATCGAGCCACCTCTAATTAGACCCACGCGCAGGCTGAAAGCGAGTCGGCAATGCGCGGATTTAATTAGTGGATCGGGCCCACACAGAGCGGTCTGGTGACTTGGTGACTGCGACCCAGACGGAGATCTGGGACTGCTGCGTAGACCCAGATGGAGATGGAGATTGAGATGCAGACAGATGCAGAGACAGAGACAGAGAAACTGAGGCTTTCTGCTGTGACACGAGCTGAGAAGTTAAGACCGCAGCTGAAGCTGAAGTTGAAGCTGAAGCTAAAGCTAAAGCATTGACCTGATTTGTGACGACGACGACGACGACAGCGGAGGAGACAAGAGACAGATCTGAGACAGACAAATCCGAGACAGAAGCTGTCACAGCAGCTGGCTTTGGCTTTGGGCCCAGAAGGCAACTGGGGCGCTGCATCCGACTTTGTCCCGCCGGCGGAGCTGGGAACAGCCGTGGGTTAGTGGGTGAGCCCAACCGGAGTGGTGAATCTAGAGCAGATTTATTTTCTACCTTGAATGAGTAAAACTTCAGCACACAAAGCTAATTGGAAGCCAACGAATTGGGCATAAGTATACCTTCTTATCGCATAAATAGAGCATGCCATCTAATAGAAGCTCACTGTCCATATAAACTTATCAAATCCACATCCAAAGACCTCAAGCCAGACTACGAAATAGAAACGAGTATTAGGATTTGCAAGGAAAATAAAGGCGAAAGACAATAGTCAAGAGTTTTTGCATTCTCAGTAGTATTATAATATTATAATATATAATATTATTAATCCTTTGGTGTGTGAGATTAGAGCGAGAAGCCCGGATAGCCAAACCAGTTCGCTGATGGATTGATGGCTGCTGATTGAGCACTCACTCGCTCGAACAAATTAAAAATTAAGTAGCGCCAGCAGCTGATTACCCAATTCAATCCATCAAGTGAATCGGACGAGCCGGGAGCGCGCATTCCCCAGCCATTCCAAAGCAATACCAATGCCACTTTTGAATCCCGCTCCCATTCCCGTTCCCGCTCCAACTCCGACTCCGACTTGAAATCGGATTCCACTCACTCGGAACGGGCGAGAGGCGTAATGAAAGCAAATTAATAAGCCATCATCAGCATAATGTGGTCGGTGCTGCTGCTGCCCGCTCCTCGATTACGTCTTGAGTGGTGTGTGGTGTGTGGTGTGGCCCATGGAAACGCCAGTGAGTGTGCGGATTGTGGAGTGTGCAACGCTATTGCAATTCGCGATTTGCAATTTGCATAACAGCGGAGGGGGAAGGCAAAGGCAAACACCGTCAAACTCCTCTCCCACATTCGATTTCGGTTCTGCGGCAGTTGCAAGTTGCAACACGGATCGCAGCGCAGCGCCGACAGACTTATGACAAATCCAACAACTTGACAACAGTTGTAATTCTGTTTGTTTCTCGGTTCGGGTCGTTTGCTTTGAATTGCTTTATTTGCCCTCTCAGTTCGTGGAAATGCACAAATGTGTCCGCGCTGTCCCCCACGCGCTGTCAGAAACAGAAACCCACGAAAATCCGTGGTTGCCTTGCCGCTGGAAGTGTAACTCGTATGCAGATTTCTGCTCTACTTGCAGCTTGTGGCTGGCTACAAGACAAATTTCCATTCGTTTCTAACAGGCGGAACCCCTGAGGTCACAATTTGCGTGAAAGAAAGTAGGTGGTATCACTGCGCACTAATTTTGATTTACATTCCCTTGGAAAAGCGTATATCAATAAACCAAGATTATAAGATAAGTCATAATTTAGCAGGGTCAAAAAACTGCTAGCGCATTCCGAGTAAAGAGCGACTTTGGCTAAAGAGTGTGTGCCACTGTGCTTGCATTTTTCTTCTTGGGCTGTCTGGTTTGCCATAACTCTGTTTGGTTTGGTTTTCATATGATATCATATGATATATGCCGTTGACGGGCATTTGTCTGGCCTGGCACCTCGACCTGTCAGCCAGTTGTCACAACGTTGTGGGCAGGTCGATTACTCTGGAATACTACCCAGCCACTAACCCATTGCTCTGTCTTTTCTATCCGCTTGCAGACGCTACAGTCATGTCCCATCGTGTGCATCAATGAGCCGGACACGCACAGTGCCAGCGCGGAGATACTGCAGACGAGTGCGGAGAGCACGCTAGAGAAGCCCCAGAAGCCGTCGGCGCTAGCAGAAGGAGCCGCCGGCACGTCGGTGACCAGCCTAAACGGCAATTGCATCGCCATCAATGGTGGAGTGAGCGTTGGAGAGGCGGCGGCGTCCCCCGGAACAGCAACTCTGACTGCAACTGGAACTGGTACGGCGACCACCAGCAGCAGTGCGGCTGGAGTGACCAAGATAAAGATAGTAACCAGCGATAACCCGAGAGAAGGCAGCACGGACATCACCAGCGGCAACACAGCGAAGGCAGCGAACACAATCACCGCAGGCGGCGGCTACAAGAACAGCAGCTTGGTGTCCATCACCAGCCTAAACAGCTGCAGTGACCTCAGTCGGGGCAGTACCGCCACCTTGCCCATTAGCAGCGTTATCAGCGGCAGCAACAGCGTCGGCAGCCACCCTCTCAGCGGCAGCAACAACCACAGCAACAACAACAGCAGCAACAACAACAACCACAGTGGCAGCGACACCTCGTCCAACAATTTCCAGGAGCGATTCGACTTCGAGCACTGGAAGGGCTTACTCAGCGAGTACAACTGCTTCCACGGGCTCTATCGCTACTGGAATCAGTACGGCGGACGCAGCGATACCAACCGCGACAGCGGCAACAGCAACAGCAGCAACGGCAACGGCAGTCAGCAGCAACAGCAGCAGCAGCAGCAGTCGCAGTCTCACCATGAGAACGGCCTGGGCAGCGGAGCCGGTTCCTTCTACACCCATAACATTCTAGGCTACACCTTCGGCTATCCGTTTGGCCTGAAGGAGGACCTCGACGGCGGCAGCAACTGCAACAGCGGCGGCAACTGCAACGGCAACGGCAACGGCAACAGCCACGGTCTCGGGATCAGGAAGTGGCTTTCAGGCAGCACCAGCAGCAACGAGACGCCGCTCCAGAAGCACTACAGGCACCAGCAGAAGAAGAAGATGCCCGTGTTCAGGGGCAGGAGAGCCTGGTGCGGCTGCTTTAAGGTTGGTCAAGTTCAAATACATAATATTATATATGGGGTATAATGCTTGAAGCTTCTGATAGACTGGTATAGCTTATGCTCCGAAATATACACCTTTAGCCAAAAGTAGAAAACTCTGCGGTAGAACCCGAAACTAGCAAAATCAACCCAACCAGCCAAAAATCCAGGCGAAATCACGTGCGAACTCGAACTCGGACACCCGGCAGACCCAAATGGCAATCGAAATCGGAGCCGGAGCACTCGAACACTCCACTCAAGACCTCCTTCCAAACCTCCCGCTCCCCGATTCTGTGCTGTGTCAGCGAATTTGTCAAATTGCGCACGAAGTTGCATAAGAGGCGATAATTCAAATTGCCATGGGAACATGGGAACGATCTGAAAGGGGAAGGGGGGACGTTACAACTAAAGCATTTTAAGGGCCTCGAAGTTAAGGAATTTTTTAGGTTTAAAGGGTCTCAGTTTCTTAGCTAAAATACTGAAAGGTAAATCATTGAGCGTATATTCATTTTATCACCACCTGTGCTGTGCTGTTCGATCGAAAGCTTGACTTTTATAATTAGATCCTAAAGCGGTTTACTTTACGAAGTATAGAGGCATTGTCTTATCAACTTACTAACTGAGTAATTCGGATATAAGGAATTTGTATAAAAGGACCACAAAAATTAAGTATGTTAGTACAATTTTTTGCAAGAATTGTTTTTCCAAAACAGGGGCTCCGCTAAATAAGCAAAAGCATTCGCCGTGAGCTCAGGGTTGCCGGGTTAGTGGGCTGGTGGGCTGGTGGGCAAACTGGCTGGTGGGCTGGTGGGCTCGAGGTTGGGCAATAGCTTTGGCTTTGGACTGAACGAAGGCGGTCTGCCTTCTAATTGGACACGCACTGCTGGCGGGCGGAGAACGTATCCATCCGCTTGCGCAAGCTGCCACTAATCGAGTTCTCCGACTTTCCCGTTCCAGGACGATGAGCCGCCCGAGATTTGCGTGGTCGAGGGGGCGTTCACCCTGCAGACGCTCACGCCGACGCAGCCCATGCCGTCGGTGGACGAGCTGGACACAAAGTTCGCCGAGCTGGTGGAGGAGCTCGATCTGACGGCGCCCAACAAGGAGGCGATGCTCAGCCTGCCGGCGCAGAAGAAATGGCAGATATACTGCTCGCGCAAGCTGCCCCTGGACGCTGGCGACGGTCCTGATGCGGCGGCCATCACCCAACCACCCACCGCGGAGCACTACATCGAGCGGCTGAAGGAGCTGGTGGTGCACATATCCCTCTCGCCGGAGGACTCGCCCAGCCACGAGCTGGGCAACCGCCTGGACGGCCACGCCGCCTTCGTGGACGCCCTCAAGACGGCCCTGCGCACCTCCACGCACAGCTTCGTGCTCCGCTTCGTGGAGCTGGACGGGCTGCCGGCCCTGCTCGACCTGCTGCTGCAGCTGGACATCCGGGTGGCCAACAGTCCGCTGCACACCAGCCTCATCGGCTGCATCAAGGCGCTGATGAACAACTCGATGGGACGGGCCCATGTGCTGGCCCATCCCACGGCCATAGACACCATAGCCAGGTCCCTGGTGGCGGACAACATCCGCACCAAGATCGCCGCCCTGGAGATCCTCGGCGCTGTGTGCCTGGTGCCCGGCGGCCATCGCAAGGTGCTGCAGGCCATGCTCTACTTCCAGGAGTTCGCCACGGAGCGAACCCGTTTCCAGAGCATCGTCAACGACCTGGACCGCTCGACGTACGCGTACAGGGACAACGTCAATCTGAAGACCGCGCTCATGTCCTTCGTCAACGCGGTGCTCAATTACGGACCTGGCCAGGAGAACCTCGAGTTCCGGCTGCACTTGCGGTACGAGTTTCTCATGCTGGGCATCCAGCCCGTGATCGACAAGCTGCGGACGCACGAGAACGAGACGCTCGACAGGCATCTGGTGAGTGGCAAGCGCATCATTCCACTAAATGACTCAGCTGACTAAATCTCCTCTTTAACCCTCGACAGGATTTCTTTGAGATGGTGCGCGCCGAGGACGAGAAGGAGTTCGCGCGCCGCTTCAACGAGGAGCACGTGGACACCAAAAGTGCCGGCTCCATGTTCGAGCTGCTGCGCCGCAAGCTCAGCCACTCGCCCGCCTATCCGCACATGCTCTCCCTGCTGCAGCACATGCTCCTCCTGCCCTGTAAGTACATAGTCTCTTGAAGATTATACAGATAGCCATCTAATCTCAATTTGATTCCCCACCAGATACGGGCCACTGTACGGAGCACTGGCTGCTAATCGACCGCGTGGTGCAGCAGATCGTGCTGCAGGTGGAGCAGCGGCCAAGCAGCGATCTCATCCCCGATCCGGATGACCCAGAGAAGCAGCTGAAGCTGGCCGTCGACTCGCCGGTCCACGATCCCGACGTGGCGCCGCTGCAGATCAACGTGGCCAAGCTGGTGCGTCTGCTGGTCAAGGAGGAGCAGCTGACGCAGGCGCGCAAGCGGGCGGACGAACTGGAGCGCGAGAACTTCGACGTGCAGTCGCGGCTGGCCAAGAAGGAGCAGGAGCTCGACCTGCGCATGCAGGAGAAGGAGGACCTGGAAACGGGATTGACGCGCATGCGCGAGCGTCTGGAGAAGGAGTCCGCGCAGCACTCACAGGCGGTGCAGCGGGCGCAGACCGCCGAGATGCGGGCGGAGGACCTGCAGCACCGCCTGCTCAGCGAGCAGCAGGAGCGGGCTCGCCTCGAGCGGCTGGTCACCGAGGGCAGCATACCCGACGACCAAAAGGTGGCCGGACTGACTGGCTGCAATGGAGCCGTATCCCCCCCGCCGGCGCCACCCATGCTGAAGGCAATCCCGCCGCCGCCGCCGCCCATGGCGCCATCCATGTTGCCCCCACCGCCACCTCCCTGCCCGGGAGCCCCTCCCCCGCCGCCGAGCATGGCACAAACTATGGGTAAGCTCGAGTTAAAATAAACATCATCACAAATCTGTTTGACCACCGTATTCTCGCGCTGACATTCCAGCTCCTGCGCCACCGAAAGTGGAACTGCCAAAGAAGAACGTGCCACAGCCGACGAATCCGCTGAAGAGCTTCAACTGGTCGAAGCTGCCGGACGCCAAGCTCCAGGGCACCGTGTGGAGCGAGCTGGACGAAAGCAAGCTGTACAACAACATGGAGCTGGAGTCGATAGACAAGCTGTTCTCGGCGTACCAAAAGAACGGAGTTTCGGTGTGTCGGCTCTTCGGCCAAAGTCGTTCCACCCAGCTAATCGTTGTACTTTTATTTCCCAGACCACCGATGGATCCTACGAGGACTTACGGGTGACTGGCAAGGCGGCCAAGCAGAAGGTGTTGTCGGTGATCGACGGACGCAGGGCGCAGAACTGCACGATCCTGCTAAGCAAGCTGAAGATGAGCGACATGGAGATATCAAAGTAGGATTGTTGACTCTTAAGCAAAACAGTACTGCAAACGTTTTAACTTCTGCCGCTTGCAGGGCCATTCTCTCCATGGACAGCAATGAGCAACTGCAACTGGACATGGTGGAGCAGCTGCTTAAGTTCACGCCCTCGGCGGAGGAGCGGGCGCTGCTGGACGAGCACAGCGAGGACATTGAATCCCTGGCACGGGCCGATCGCTTCCTCTACGAAATATCAAAGTGGGTTTCATAAAGCTGTTGGCTGGAATCCGTTCTATCTGTTTTTCAATTCCAGAATCCCCCCACTATGAGCAGCGGCTGAAGAGTCTGCACTACAAGAAGCGTTTCATGCTGACGATCAACGACCTGATCCCCCGCATCACCAGTGTGATGGAGGCATCTCGCGAGGTGGCTCGCTCTCGCCGCCTGCGCAAGCTCCTGGAGTTGGTCCTTGCATTGGGTAAGCTGACCCAATCTTGTTATTAAACTTTTGAATTATTCGAATTCGAATTCCGGCAGGCAACTACATGAACCGCGGGGCACGCGGCAACGCTTCTGGATTCCGACTAGCCTCGCTCAACCGCCTGGCAGACACCAAGTCGAGTGCGTCGAAGGGCACCACTCTGCTACACTACCTCGTCCAGGTGATCGAGCGCAAGTTCAAGGACCTGTTGAAACTGGAGGACGATATTCCGCACGTGCGCGAGGCCTCCAAGGTGTCGCTTGGGGAGATGGACAAGGACATACAGATGCTGCGCACGGGACTGGCGGATGTGGCGCGCGAGATTGAGTTCCACCGCAGCTCTGGTCCAGCCCAGCAGGGCGACCGTTTTCTGCCCGTGATGCGTGAGTTTCACGCCCAGGCTTCGGTGCGCTTCGCGGAGCTGGAGGACAAGTTCCAGGATATGAAGACGCGTTTTGACCGCGCAGTGCGGCTGTTCGGCGAGGACGGATCGGTACTGCAGCCGGACGAATTCTTCGGCATCTTCGACTCCTTTCTGGTCTCCTTTGCCGAGGCGCGGCACGACAACGAGAGCTTCCGGCGGCGGCAGGAGGAGGAGGAGAAGCGGGCCAAGCAGGAGGCGGAGCTTAAGAAGCGCACAATCGAGCGCAAGAACAAGACCGGTCTAATGAGCAGCGTGGCCCGCAACCTGGGTCTCAAGTCTGGTTCCCCCAACGGTGTTCCGGATTCGCCAGCGAAGGCTAGCGGCGATAACAAGGGCGAGTTCGACGACCTGATATCGGCGCTGAGGACCGGAGATGTGTTCGGCGAGGACATGGCCAAGTTCAAGAGATCGCGCAAGGCGCGCGTGCTGAACGGCGTTGGCGCCGCCACCGGCCACACCTCGCCACCGCGCCACGGCAGCCTGCAGCGCGAGGAGAGCGGGAGGGAGCGTGAGCGGACCGTGCGGCGCCAGTAGAAACTTGGTGGAAATTGGGCAGAGGATCAGGATCAGGATTAGATAAATCGTCTGCCTCCTTACCCAGTGTAAAGTAATGTTTCCAGATTGCGCGCAAGTATTTTTTTTCTACATCGTAAAGACACTTTTTGTAATTATTTATATCTAATACCCGTACGCATACACCACGATTTATATATACCAACACATATAGCACATAATCTAAACGTAAAGCTCGGCTAATGCAAGCGTGAAACCAAATTTTTTACAAAATCGAAACATAATTGTAGTTTAAAGTCTAAAGAATCGTTATGAATTTATAATTTAATCCTGAGCGGAGCGGATCATCGAGCATCATGTGTAGCGTACCTTGAAAATTGTATTTGGAATCCTTATCTGCTTCTATATCTGAACCAACCTAGTGTTATATATCGAACCGATTTATCAGTGCTCACACATCCTTATCGTAGCGCAATCGTGTAAGCCCAAAGCGGCGCTTGGCAGCATAATCACCGCACATGGAATCGCCGGAGAGCTCCCGGGCCTGCCATAAAGTCATGTTCATAATTAAGGTTATATATTGTTTGTTTTCTTAATTTTTTTTTAGCACGAGATCCAGTATCGTAACATACATAAAGAAATTTTAAAGCGCATTAGGAGTTGCACAGACACACGCCCTGGTGCGAGAAAGCTATCTGATATTGAAAATTACACCCTAACTATTAACAATTAAAAATAAACATTTATTGTGAATGAAATAAACGCAACTGGTTTCTTTTCTCAAGCTCGCTGTGTTGCAGCGAAGTATAAGATTTCCAAATTCGAAGTAACAGGCGAACATAACCGTTTAGCAGGTGTCGAACGATCAGCTGATCAGTAAATCAACGTGTGGTTGTCCATCCCTGGTAGTTGCAGCGAAGCAGATTTTCATATTCAAAGTAACAGGCAAACATAACCGTTTAGCAGGTGTCGAACAGCTGATCAGTTAAGCAAGGTGGTTGTCCATCCCTGGTAGATGCTCAAATATAACGGTGTCCTTCCAAGAAACTGCTTTCCTCCTATTGGCTGGCCAATGGGAGACGAGCTTGGTACCAGTGCACAAAAATCAGCAGCCACCTACTACTGTATTATGTTGGCCTGGTGTAAAATCAAATTTTACAGTTAAAACTTGGCTTTTGGTCGGCCCACGAGACAACGCTACGTGACGTAAGAACCCCCAAAAGCAGGCAATGAATTGAATGTTGTTGTGTTGTACACATTTGGCCTAAGAGTATGCAAGCTACGAAAATGTAACTTATTGCCTAAACCAAAAAAAAATGTATGCAATTATCAAACAAAATATATTTATTAAACTTTGAGTAACAAATAGAAATACTTTTTATGAGGTAGACGGTTATTTAAGAGAAATCTTATTAGCTACTCCTTGTTAGAGCCCAGAGCTGCAATTTGTGAGAGCTGAGACCGTGGAAACTGAAATTAAAAAACGAATTTGTATTGCCAATTTATTTTATAAACATTTAAGAGGATCTTACGCGACGACAAGGAAAAACGTGAACTCTGCCTATTTTTGTTAAGGACCTGAAGCATCCGGCAGTTCATGTCCACCAGCCTCGTCCTCGTCCACCAGCCATTTGGCGATCGACAGCCGTCCGTCGACGTCGGCGCTGTACAGACGCTGCTCGAACTCCTCGTACGAGATCTGATTGCGGTTCGAGGCCCCGAAGGCCTGCTGCTCCAGGAGCTGCAGCTCGACCTCCACCTCGGGCTTGCGGTACTTGGCCTGCTCCTGCTCCTGCTCCAGCTGACACTCGCCGTCCTGGGCCAGTTGGTGGTTCCAGATCGGATCAAGGAGGCTGCGCATGATCTGGCGGAAGTCCTCGCGCGTGATGCAGCCGCTGCGGCGGGTGTCGAAAATCTTTGAGAGAAGGCGCAATTTCTTTGCTCGCCTGTCGTGGCGTCCGAGCTCGCCACGGCCAAACTGCGGCACCAGGACGGTGGCACAGGCTTCAACGAACTGGTCGAAGCCGAGTCGGGCGCTTGGCTCGCGGCTGGGGAAGAAGCCGTCCACAATCTGACGGTGCAGCGGGTTGAGAGAGAGCTGCGGGATGCGCAGCAAGTCGGTGGGTGTCAGGTAGCCACGTTGGTGGCGGTCCAGGCTGCGGAACCGGGTGTGCAGCTGCTCCAACTGCTCGGCGGACAGACCCGTGGCCTGTTGGTAGTCGCTCAACTGGACGGGATTTAGCTGACGACTTCCTACGGCGCCCATGCCAATTGGGTTGGAGTTGCTTAAAGTGTTTCAGTTTCGGTTACCTACAACGTTATAGAGTTAAAAATCCGTTCAGAGGTAACAGTAAACACAAGGATACCTACCATGTTCCAATTGGTGGTTCTAGGAAAGCTCGATCGGGCTAATTCAACATGAGCTGTTTACTAATAATAAAAAGCGTACGTATGTAGCCGACTTTCTTGATGCCAAATAATTTGAAAGAAGTGTTTGTATTCGTATAGTTCCACTTGTAATGCCATCTCCTGTAAAGACAATAAAGTTGTTTTTAATTTTTTAGGGAAGTTCAGGGAATAAAAGCGAAAATGGAAAGATTAAAAGAATCTATGGTGAGGAGATTCAGAGCCAAGGGGACATCTATTTGTGCGCCCGGCCTTGGGGCAAACGAAATCGAAATGGTGAAAGAAAACTCTCTTGGCATTACTCTGTGTCATTTTCATTTGTTGACTTTTGCAAAATGCCGCATAAATCAAAACGGGCGCTTTCAAGGCCACTTGGTCGGTGGGTGAAGGGGAGCCAGGGGGCAGACCTACTTCCGCGCCATCCGTCGCCTCTGACGCACTATATTAAAAGTGCTATATCTTCGGATACCTCCCCAGCCGCCCAGCCGCCCACGCCACCTGATGCCCCTCTCCAGGGACGGCAGAGACGCCATGGTGCGTGCGCCTTGGCCGGCTGCCAGTTGCCAGTTGACAGTGCCCCCTCGGTGCCGCCCTCGGTCCACCCAAACTAATTGCCCCGCTTTCGTTGCGTGTCTGTCCGTCCGCTGGCAAGGCTGGAGGGCAAGGTGAAGTGTACACAAATAAAAGAGAACGGCGGCGGCTAACAAGCTTAGGAGAACTCCTCCCGCAGGTACAAGAACTCATCTAAATACCGTTCTCGCGAGCATTTTTAATTATTTGGATAAAATTAATCAAGTGGGACACAAAACAAAGAAGAACAGCTTAGGTTCATTTAGACCACTGTTAATACATCACAGCCAAGATGTAGGTAAGTATTTGCACATTATTGACTTTCAAAGAAATAGATTATAGATTATCATAAACTCAAACACTCACAAGCGTTGGAAAAAACGTAAGCTACGCTGATTCAGATCCCATTCGTAACCCCTGTCGGCTAATGACAAACAAATAACATCACTAATGCAATTTGCCCGACCTCTGCGGCTGTGATTGAGCATACAAATTACGAATATGCTTTGCATATAGAATCGCACGATCCAAGCGGTTCTAAAAATAGGTACAGAAAACTCTTACATTTTGATTTTGATTGCCAATTCCACTTGCAGCTGAGTAATGCGCCGAAATGTGGATGAAAAGCGTTTTTCTTCTCAACATTTTGAGGGAAAATAAAACTCATACATATTTGAGTAGGAAAAATAATGAAAAATGCGCGGCACATGCCGCCGGCTGGCTGTCCGCTAGCCCCATTCGCCGTTCGCCACCGCATTTCTTCTTGTTGTTTCCCGAGGCTGAGAGCAAAATCGACGAAATGCCCGGCGAGTGTCAAAAACGCGTCAAGATCAAAGCGAGCACGAAATTTCACCGCCCAGTTGCCAAATGCAACAATAAATTGGCCACATGCGACAACAACAGCAAAACCATTGGCCATACTTGGACGTCCACGATGCGGGTCGCAATATTAGCTCACCAGAATTATGACAGATATCCTTTTTGTCGCTGCCATCATGGTTGACTGCGATTAAGACCCCGATCTTAGCCGGAAAACCACTTTGGCCAAAGAACTTCGAAGCTAGCGACTCCGCCCGGACTGTCCACAGAATTCCTCGTCTTCCTTTGCCGCGTACAAATTGCATGAAATGTTTTTTGTTTGTTCAACAATTTGCGGCCCACTGCTGCCATATGTCCGCGACCCGCCTTCGAATGAGTCAGGCGGCGGGCGGGCGATAGATGGATTCGACTTGCTGATGCCATTACTGCAGCGGCATAATGAGACAAGTTTAATGCATTTAAATGAATTCGATTACCGTACGAATCTGGGTGTTCGGCCCTGTGAGGCGACGCCCTCCATATGGCCGGAGGCACCAAAGCATAGCACCCCAAAGATTCCCCCCGAGGGAAGTTGCAGGCGCCGCCAGAACCCCCAATAAGCCAAGGCCAAGCAGCAGCGACCATTAATTAAGTGGATCATATCATTAGGAAAGTGGGAGCCATTAGCAGAACGCCCAATTCATTGGCGCACCTGTGTAACCTGTTGGGAGTAAAAGGGTACAGTCGCTAATAGGAGAACACGGAAATAACCAGAGGGCTTGAATGGGAGTCGGGAGTCGGGAGTTGGGCCGGGCACCCTGCTCCTCCACTTCTACGCCTCACCACCTCCGGTGGTTTAGCGTTTGAACAAAAGCAAAAACAATGAGAATATAATAATCAAAACATTTTAAGCGCCTCTCAAGGTTGACCGCCGGCAAACAAGTCTCGCAGACAGGGTTCTGGCTTGGATCTTTCGGGGCTGTTGGGGGGTAGCAGACTGGCGAATGCCCTACTGCAACAACAACTCAGGCGACACAAATCAAACAATGGGTAAGCAAGGGAACGAGGGGGCGAGGGAGGTGGGGGTAGCTCCACGCAAAATAAGCAAATGACGGGCAACAAATTGTAGAGCGACACTTTTTTTTACATTCTGTTTGTGTTCTTTTTTCCTCTTATTTTTTGTCCGCTTTTGTTGTTTTTGATTCGTTGCTTTGCGTTAGTTTTGATTAATTAATTTCCTGACTAATTCATCCACAATGCGCGACTCGCTGGAGCCGGAGCAAATGTGCCAAAAAAAAAAAAAAACAAGAAAGGAAGCTAGCTTCGGCAAGCCGAAGCTTATATACCCTTGCAGTCATCAAACATATCGAACAAAATACATAAAGGCTAACAACATCAAAGCTATGACGACTTTTCTATTAATTTTCCATATTTTCGACTATTGTTCATATGGCAGCTATATGATATAGTCGTCCGATTTTGATGAAATTTTTTTCTCGGGTCAAGGGTAGTTCATAAAGTCGATGTTGTAAAAATCATGCTCGTGGAATAAAAAACAACAACGTTATGATTATTTTGCCATTATTTCTATATATATTTTTTGATCTTTCCTATGGCAGCTATATGATAGGGTTATTCGATTTTGATAAAATTTAATCCGAAATTTAATAACCGTTAGAAAACGCCATCTTGAAGAATTCAAGTCGATCTGATCAAAAACAACGGAGTAATAATTTTTATCCTTTATTTTTTTGACCTCTTGTATGGGAGCTATCCGATATAGTCGGCCGATCCGGCTCGTTCCGACTTATATACTGCGTGCAATAACTACACATCTTTTGGGAAAGTTTCAGCAAGATAGCTTTAAAACTGAGAGACTAGTTTAGGCAGAAACGGACAGGAGGACAGACGGACAGACGGACAGACGGACAGACGGACAGACGGACAGACAGACAGACGGACAGACGGACAGACGGACAGACGTACAGACGTATTTCGACTCAGATCGTGATGCTGATCAAGAATATATATACTTTATGGGGTCTGAGGTGTCTCCTTCACTGCGTTGCAAACTTCTGGCCAAAATTATAATACCCTTTGCTCTGCAAGGGTATAAAAAGCGGAGATAGAGCTGCAGAAAGAGACGGGCATAGCGACAGGGCAGCAAGAGCGAGATGGCGCGAAAATAATTGCGAATAATTGAAAATGATTGCGTTTTGCTTTGGTTTTTTGGGATGCGAAAAAGGTTTATGGGAGCAGCGCAGAGAACTGTAGCTTCTTAGACACAACCAAAGAAAATCAGGCTATAATGAGTAAAGCTTTACCAAGAACCATGAGCGGTTTTAAGCAAAGTTACCTGACATAAATTTCGAGCTAAGTGAGAAGATAATTCGTTAATGCTTGGGAAAGTATTCGAATATTGTCTCCTGTTTCCGACTTTATTGTAATTAATTGCTATTCCATTGCTGGTTACATCTGTGTCAACATGTGTTAAGACCAGACTAGCCTTGTTACGTTTTCTGGAAATAAACTCTGTTTGATCAGTTGCTGTTTTGCTGCAAGGATACTCCCTCCAGACTGCTGGCTAACTGGGAATAGGACAGAACAAGAAACCCTTATAAACCCTTGCAGTCTTAAAATATGTCGAAAAAAAACAACATAAAGCCTAAACAACATCAACAACATTTTCTAAAAAACCATTTTTCGGATTTTTGACAGGGGTCAGGGGTCAAGGGATCAGTTGAATTACAATTAATTTGCATTCATTGAAATAGATTGTTGGGCTTCTCTGGTTTCCAAAACTATACTTTGTTTAGCTGTAAGTAGTTTCATGCCCAAATAACAGAAAAGTTATCATTGAAAAATGTTTGTTTTTCCTGTTTACCCATTTTGCCATGAATTGCAATAGGAGATCCAAATCAGCACTTCCAGGATCCATAACTCGGACAATTTTTATCCGATCTCAAAGTGACATAACTCTTAACATTTGTGATGGAATTCCTGAACTAACTGCATTAAGATTTTTCAATTTGATAACGGTTCAATTTTTGGACCCTGCTCATGTCATATTTCTCCTATTTTGGCATGAATTGCATTAGGAGACCTCAAAATACAGTGATTTTTCTTCACGACGACCTTCGTCGGACATTACAGATGGGTCAGATATTATTAGTTGACTCGGGTTTGCGTTCGGGTCAATTTCAGGCGAGTAGCGACTCATCGCCTCTGCTGTTCAACAGATGCTTGCGATCGCTGCCGCAGACCGATTGGCTGGAGATTCAGGCGGCTAAAAATAGTTGTCTTGGCCCGGGCTTGCAGCTTCGGGTAAACGCGAATGTAAATTTAATAGACAGGCGACTGGTGATTTGGCGAGCGCTTCTATAAATATTTGCCCAACTAACCCAACGATCCGAGCCGAGCTGTTCTGCTCGCGAACGGAGCGGAGTGGAGTGGCGTGGAGTATCATGAATATTATCGACGACGCACCGCCGTTGAGTCATGCGCAAATAACTTGGCTTATTAGAAATTCAAAGCCACCACAGCACACAACACACACAACACATACAGCACATACAGCACACACACAACACCCTCCCCACCGCCACCGGCCTGTGGAGTAACATAAAACCAGCGTCCAGCACTGCCATTCAAATGCAAATGAGCTTAATCAAAAGCAGAACTGGCCGCCGGAGCGTCTGAGCGGCTTTTTGGCCAGGCCCAAAGTACCAGCTAGCGATGAGCGATGAGCGATGAGC